CGTACATATAAAAGTCGAATCCTTCTCCTGCTGCTGCAGCTCTTCTCAGACGTCGACTTTAGAGCAGGCGTTTACAAGGACGGCGAGGCGTTCGAGTCCAGAGACCAAACACGGCAGAGTGGACGTTAATTATTATAGATCAGACGTCCTCACGGCAGGTGACGGACAGAATCCTCTCTGACGCCGCTGACTGCTTTGCACCTTTTCCGGTCAATACAGGACAAGGTGAACGTAACGACTGGTACCGTGTATTTATGTGATGCAGTGAAAAAAAAAAAATCCACGCGGCAGCGAAGGCCACGTTTCTCTGTTGTGTTTTCTATAAATCTGAGCTCCAAACAAGCTGGAGCTCGACGTGGGACTGTTGCTTGGACACAGGGAGGTCATTTGAGGTGGTGGAGGTTTTTTACGTCCGTCATTAAATCAACGTGTTCCTTGAAGGCCACCCTCGGTCTCCTCTCCTCACTGGTTCCTTTTTCCTCCTCCATGTTCTGGTTTGATATCAATCCTTGAATGAAAACAGATTTTCCAGCAACAGAAATATCACTCTGGGGAAATTAGGCCGCTGCGCCGGCTATCAGGGAAAAATCAAAGGCGAGTGAAATGATTCTGATCCACTTTTCAAACCTCTGAAACGATGAGCGCGTTGAAGGGCAGACGGCGGCCGAACACGTCACTGCACATCAACGCCAACGTCTTCGTGTAATTGTTCCGCACAGACGTGGACGGGACTTATGTCCAGCTGTCCAAGAGCAGCTCCACACCGCCAATTACCTCGGCCGGCAAATCGTCAGCGGGACTCCCCGCCACGACACGTGGGTAGGTCGCTCCACCTAATGTTGCTGAGTCGTCGTAATTGATCTCTCTGTGGGTTCGGTCGTGACGATTGGGCAACACCTGTAATGAACGTCGGCCGCACAAGTGGGAGTCGAGCAGTTTGTTTGTTTGTTTACATCGTCTCATCACATGGACCGTGAACGCCTGCAGTTAATTGGCTCTGATTTAACAAAAAAATGTACTTTGCATTTTTCAAACCATAGGGTCGCAGCCCAACATGGGGTCGCCTGGAATTCAAATGGGGTCACCTAAAATTTTTGGTAATTGTTTGTTTTTTTTAATTGCTCACAAAAAAATTTTTTTCAGGTAATTACTATATTTTAAGTTATGATTAAAAAGCCAAACACAATCGTAAACATTTGTAACTTTGCTCATCAAAGGACTTTTTAAACATCTGCTATAAGAACGCATCATTTAAAAACTGTACCATCAACTAACTATTCAACATTATTTCTTTGCTGGTGAAAAAAGAACGTCTTTATCTATTTTCTACATCTGCAGTACAACCCGACTGAAGTTGGAACCACGATTGTTTATTTTGCATTTTTCAGCCCATTGAATATTCATTTAGATTTTTTCTGGAGACGACTCTTGGTCGCAGCTCGCGTCGGTTCTCAGATCAGTTCTTCACTCGTTCGTTCGTTCGTTCGTTTGTTTGTTTGTTTGTTTGCAGTACTCACCTGTAGTTCCTTCTGTCGGTGTCGTCATCTCCCAGAAACTGACAACAAGCACCATAACGAGTAGAACCCCTTTACTTCCGCTGTGCATGTGTCGCTCACTCATCCTGAGGAGAACAAAGAGACGGAACGTGAAGTTTCACTCCTTCAAAAACTCACATTACTGCAGTACAACGAAATACAACCATTATTTTTATTTAGTACGATAAAATACACAACGTACATTAGCAACTACTGATGAGTTTGCGACAGGATGTAGTTTGGAGTAAATACCGTAAATAAGTGTCGACTTCATGCTACGTCCTTGTTTGATGGTTGACAAAGACAGACGATGACGTCATCCTGTCAACTTTTATTAGAGCCGTGTATCTACAAGAATCTGGAGACACGATACGTATCACGATACAAGGGCACGATACGATATATTGCGATATCTTACGATACTATAGGCACAACAATATATTGAGTAAAACTGTCGGCGTAGTAAAGATACAACGCTGTTACGCCTTAGCATCAGCTTTGCTCGTGCACCGACTCTAACGGACCATGTGACCATGTGACCGACTCTAACGGACCATGTGACCGACTCT